CCAGCTCAGCCCGGGCCGCTGGGCCCCTGCCACCCGAGTCCCAGGCTGCCTGTTTACCACCTGTCAGAAGGCACGGGAAGGAGCACACAGGCGGGGCGAGGTGTGCGGGAGACGCGCCTCCCCTTTCCCCACCGCCTACCTCCTCTGCTCCCCCTAGGGTCCGTGGCGCCCCTCGTGTGCGCCTCCATGACCCAGAGTCACCCAAGTGGATGCAATGCCGCCAAGGACGCATTTGGAGCGCCCGCGCGCGCTCACCTGCCTGCCTGCTCTGGTCTGGCCCTGATGGGGTCGGCCGGTTTGGTGCCTGGCCCCCCAGCCGGCGGGGTGACCTACCTGGCGTCCTGCAAGGAGGCCTGGCTGTGGGCGCCAGCGCCTGGCCTCGCTCTACCCCGGGGTGCCTCTCTTATCTCTGGACCCTGGGCTGGGGTCCTTCCACCCAGGGGATGTTGTTATTCCACGTGTGAGAAGGGGAAGTGGAGTGTAGAGAAGTTAAAGGCCCCATGCTGAGACCTGACACCTAAAAATGAGAAGCAGAACTGGAGCCCAAGTTACCTGGGAATTCTGCAGCCTCTCTAGAGCTTTGCACATAGTAGGTGTGGAGAGCGGCTACAGCAGTGGTTCTCAACCTTGGCTGCACATTAGAATCACCTGGAAATCTTTTTAAAATCCTGATTTCTGGGCCTCATCCTCCGGAAATTCTGTTTCTTTGTATGGGGTGGGGCCACCTCACCCCATAACAAAGAAACAGAATTTCCGGAGGATGAGGCCCAGAAATCAGGATTTTAAAAAGATTCCCAGGTGATTCTAATGTGCAGCCAAGGTTGAGAACCACTGACTTAGATCGTGAGACACCAATGGGGTGGGAAGAGCCACTTGGCAGGGAAGGGCACCGGCCTCAGCCTCGCTCTTGGCTCCTCACTGACACAGGCCTGTCCCACAGGCCCTGGGGGTTGAGTGAGGGACAGAGGAGGCGCTTAACCTTATGGTCCGAACCTGTGGTCCCACGTGGCTGAGTGATATGGGCTGAGGAGGTGCAGCAAGTAAACAAAGCTTGATCAGGTGCATGTAATTGAGTAGATTCGAAGCCTGCCAGAACATTGTAAACCTCTTGACCACACCCTTACTTTGCCTCGTGGAATCTGGCTATAAAATAAAGACTAGGCCTGTAAGCCGTGGTGCTGTCTGTTCATCAGAAAGGAGCGCCCCACTTAGCCCCAGCTTTCCTCTCTTGTCTGTCTTTTCTCCATCCTTCACCGCCCCCTCTCAGGTTCACCCATGGCTGTGCAGGTTTGGCACAAGTAGGCACTCAGTAACTTTGCAGTGTATGGGTCGCGGCTACAGTGTTTTGGCCAGGATCAAGCCTCGGACGAATGAAAGGACAGGGTCCTCTCATTGCCACATGCAAGTCCCAGCTGGAGGACAGGGCCCACCCAGCACAATTATAGCCAACAGCTGTGGTTGTAAGCTTGAACCTATGGTCCAAACACGTAACCCCACGTGCCTCGTGCTAGAGTTCAGGTGCATGTAGTTGAGTGAGGTTGGAACTCACGAGAATGCTGTAAACAACGTGATCACACCCCTACTTTGCCTCGTGGCATCTGCTATAAAATAAAGACACGGCTTGTGGGTGCTGGCGCTGTCTCCTCATCAGGGAGCAGCGTCCCACCGAGACCCAGCTTTCATTCTCTCATCTGTCTTTTCCTTAATCCTTTCACACACCCCCCCCCACTCAGTTTACCTTTGGCTGCAACAGCAGTGAATGTCTGCCTAAGCCAATCCCTACTGAGGAACTAGTGGGCTGGGGAGGGGCTGCCCTTGGAACCTTTGGGGCCATGGGAGGGCTTAGGGCCCTGAGCCTGATAGGGTTGGGGGCTCAAAAACCACCGGGGAAGGGCAGGTCCCCTGGACAGTCGAGAGGCAGTTAGGTCCTGGACTTGAGGACGCTTTGAAGGCACCTCGGTGGGAGGGGACACCAGCAATGAGGGGAGAAATGAAGCTCTTTCCGCATTTGAAAAGGTGTGGGATGTCTGGGGACATAGGCCCGAGAGGGGGAGCAGTTGGGCACAGTGCTACTGTAGT